GTTGGCAAAATGTCTCTTTACCGCCTCAATCCAAGAACAAATGCACTTATGTTAAGAAAAAATGACGTATCTAGATTTATATTTTTTGCAGTGTTGGTCTGGATTTCTTTCATGATCAGTTTGCATATTTCATCAAAAGATGATAGGAAGTTTTTCACTGGTTTTTGCTTTAATCTAAATCTTATTGAGTGAAATCGTGACTTTAAAAATATTCCGTGTCAGATCCGGTTTCCTGATTCCTTTCTTTTCCGCTTTGAAAACTCTTCAGACTCTTTCTCTCTGACTGGAGCTCCATTGGGGGTGTGGAGGAGGATGGAGCGAGGCGGGGAGAGTCCTGTCGCCCAAGGTAGTCCTGAGCGGAGGGGAGGCAGCCCAGACCTCAGCGGTCTCCCACCACCAGGAAAGAAGAGCCGACTGGAGCTCAACGGGAGCCCCACAGGCCCACGAAGTCGCCACAATGGAGCCCCATCTCGGCCCCTCGGAGGTAACCAGAAAAACTCACAGAGAAATGCAATCAAGTGTTTTTTCTACATTCAAATACTTTAAATTGGTGACTTACAACAACATAAATTTAAAGAAGAAGTGTTGTAAATGATTGAAACACTGCATGATGGTTTTTAGATCCTTTCTTTCTGCCAGAAGGCTTTAGCAGTGTTGTTCTCCAAACCCACAGACAGTCGCTGGCTGAGCTGGGAGCCACATGGGCTGAGTTTGGCTCCCTGTTCCACGCTGTAGAGCTGAGAGCCTTGAGCTGTTAATCTATAAGTCAGGAGGGAACTGTATAACACAGCCTTACCAAATAAAGGAGATTGCTCCATATAAACAAGATTTATACAAGTCACTCTGGATTATCGATCCCCGCATTAGCTGTGAAAGTTGTTTCCTCTTGGTTGCTATGTTTCCAGTGACCTTGACGTTGGTTACGTCTTAAACATACCAGTCCAGGAACATATTGATACAGAAATTCATCAATATGAGGGTGAGATGGGAGATTGTCTCCATACAGCAACAGCCATCACGGCAATTCCCTTAGCATATCACCAGCTTTAGCTGCATTCTTGAAGAACGACCTGGAGAGCTTCGTTGGTAGAAACACAGGCAACCTTTCTCTGGGATTTAATGTCCGGCAACTTTTTATTTGGAAAAATACGTCAGAAAGTTTGAAGAATTGGTCATCTGTGGTCAGAGTGAGGCTCATTCTCCAAACATTAGCTTTAAGACATAAATGAAGGTTATGATGACACACACACACCAAAGCTAGGTTTATTGTCATTCTTTAACTGAAAACTAAGCCTCCCAAAGACAGATCTAAAGTAGTAGCTTTAAGGAATTCCCCCACTTTCCTTGATGGGCCCTTGGCTGGTCCCCTACAATTCCTTTTTAAACATAAATCTTTATACTAAAATATTCTTTCTGTCATGATTTGTGGACATTAAGATCTAAAGAGAAGCGTCATCTCCTGGCTAGACCCTGTAATTCAGTGAAATCAGAGTAAAAGAATATGCACGCCCAGGCAGTGGTGCCTCATGTTTCATGGGGCCACTAAAAATCTTGAAGTGGCCACTGAAACTAAAAGCCATAATTTCCAGGTTTTAATCTACTATTGTGTTAAACCTGCCTGTAGAAATAGTTAAGACTTTAGTAAACAGCTACTTATATCTTGATTTATTATATGATTTTTAATGTTACTTCGCTGGCTGTGCACAATGATGCTAAACTGATGCTACTACAGTTTACACTGGCGAGTGGGGAGGGCATTGAACAGTGCGGCTGTGGCCACCCCTTGGCCACTGCACGCAGGAA